TCTGGTAAGTATAACTCATCACTACACCAGTACTGTGCATTTGGACCTTTCTAATCACAGGCCCAATATTTACCTTTTGTTTTTCTATTTAATCTAGCACTTATATGTTCTATATAATACCAGATACAGTCAGACCTCTCTAAATGCATGGCGTCGGGCTAATAAAAAACCTTGCATTTAGAGAGGTATTGCATTTAGAGAGATAAAAATCTATAAGTAACATATGAGTTGGGATGAAGCCAAGCCATGTATTTAGAGAGGTTATGCATTTAGAGAGGTTGTATTTAGGGAGGTCTGACTATATAAAATTGGCCATATACCTTATATCTTGTGATGAAAACTGTATAGTATTATATGGATATATTCCATATAAGGCTGTGGCAGATGAATTGGGTTTTAATATTTCCTCCACTTCCCAGTGTATTCTTTGAGGTGAAGTATCAAAAACCTTATTGTTTACTGATACTTCATTACTTAAGCCTATGAAGTATACTAATTGTTCTTCTTCTTCATTATGTAGTCTAGATAATGTATCCACATTATTATACTTTCTACCAGGGCAATGAATTATAGTAAAATTATATAGTGCTAATCTTAGAATCCATATAGCACATTTACCTTTCAATTCTGATATTCTTAACCATTGTAATATCAAATGATCTGTTATAAGAAAGAATGGTTTAGAACCCAAGTACTGATAGAAATGTTCTATAGTCCAAATAATAGCTAAGCACTCAAACTCAGGTATAGAATAATTTTTCTCATGCTTATTCAAACTTTTACTCATATAGGTAATAACATATTCTTTATTGTTATCATTTAATTGAGATAAAATGGCTCCCAATCTAGATATCAAAGCATCTGTATGCAGATAAAATAGTCTATTGAAATCAGAGTATTGTAATATTAAAGCAGTTATAAGGTAATCCTTTAAAGTATTAAAAACATGTTGTTGTTCTTTATTCTATCTATATGGTTTATCTTTTTGTAATAATAAATTTAGGGGTTTAGCTATTTTAGAAAATCCTTTAATAAATTTTCTATAATAGAACACAAGACCTAAGAAGGCATGAATTTGTTTAATTGTAGTCAGTATAGAAAAATTTTTAATCTTCTCTATTTTTTCATCATCAGGCAATATTCCTTCTTGTCCAATTACATGATCTAAAAATTTTATTTCTTTAAGGAAAAATGAATATTTTTTTGAGTTTATTTTTAGGTTGGCTTCTTCAAACCTTTCAAAAACCTGTTACTGATAATAAAGATGGTTCTCAAATATCTTTGAGTATTATCAAAATATACAACCAGGAATTTGTTGATAAAAGGACCCAACACATGATCTATCAAACATTGAAATATAGATGGGGCATTACATAAACCAAAGGGCATTATATTAAATTCGTAAGTCCCAAATTTGGTTATAAATGCAGTTTTCTTTTTATTTTCTTCTCTGAATGCAACCTGCCAATACCCACTTGCTAGGTTATGACTAGAAAACCACTTGGCCCCCTCGAATACAGAAAGGATTTCATCAATATTAGGTAAAGAATATATGAAGGTAAGTCAATAAAAAAGGGACAAATCATTTTTAGTAATTTTTTTTTAATTTTTAAATTAAAATATCTCAACAACTATTTAATCAAAATT